AGCGTAAATGCGCTCTTTTTCTTTCCCCACCCGCCCCTCTCAAGCTTTGGAGGCTCTTTGATTCTAGGTCATGATCAAAGAGTGGTCCTTCCGGGTCTCTTTCGTCCGGGTTAGTGAACCTCCCTTTTAACCTCCCGTGGTCCGTGGTGGATCTCACGGTATTCAGGAAGGTTAAGCACTTAAGGAGGAAGTGGCAAAGTTGCGGATAAGGCTGAGGGCGTCGTGCATTTTAGTTGCCTTGTTCTGCACATACTTCCAAGGTTTGTATAAAAATGAGATAATAAGTATGTACATCATAGGTATGGATTATTCCATGGAAGGCGAATCTCACCTCAGATTTAGAAAAGTATCTGCTCTAATTGGTGGAGGTGCTATTGTCTTTGATTCGCTTGATTGAACGAGATAACCCGCTCTAGTCTAGGCACTCTCCTAGAAAGGCTCTAACTTTGATTAATAAATATTGCGCAATTATTACCGAAGTTAGAAGTAGCCCAGAAATTCGGGTTCGCTACACATACTCCGTTGGTATTGCGGCTATTCCCGATGTCTTGGTTGAACTACAGCATTTTCTTTCGGGATTTACCGAGAGAGAAATAAAAAAGGAGACATCGGTTGTACCCGAAGACTGCCAAAGTTCTCAAAGTTTCGCTTTTCTCTGAGAAAAATAGAAAACGTGGTAGGTTTACCCCTTACTTTGTACAAGTTCATCCGGTCCGTACTCCGTCCTAAAATCCGAGCCCAAACGGTTGTTGAAATTAAATGCGTCCACGTGGAAAATGGTCTAAAACGCCAATTGTAAGCGCTGCCCAGGTGGTGTACATTATACAAATCGGGTTAGTTCAGACCCACTCGGCTATGCTACTATCCCCGTTCTGGCCTTCAGCAATCTGACCTTGATCTTGTTTACAGGTGTTTATGCTGTTTTAGTCAAATCCCCTCATATCTAGTACGTTGTTACTAGCTCCACAATCGTCAACGCCTCGATTCTTGTGCTCCGGATGGAACGGCTTCTCGTGCGTCTGTGTAGGTCGATGCGCCACATTATGTATATATTAATTGTCGAACGTACCACGAAGGATGGTCCAGGAATTGAAAAGTGTGGCCGATCTACACTCACGGTCCAATCCTGTAGAGCAGATCATCGCTATCTGTCGAGGTCTTTTTGGTCCATCGTCAATGGGGATCGTTAGTGAGGCATTTGTCGTCAAAGGTTCCCCTACCTGCATTGACTAAAGCAAACCATACCGAATACAGCACACTTGCAGGGATTGAGCGAGATTAACCGAAGAGATGAAAAGACGACTCGTCATATGCATACTCCTTGCACTCAACAATCCCTTTATCCATGTCCCGAGATCTACCATACCTACGGTACTGCTATCTATTTTCCCAGGGTATATACTAACATTGTACTCCCCATTACTACTCTGTATATATCGTCGCGGAATCCAGTGATTCCTGTTCCTGGGGTACTGCCCCACATGGACACAGATCGTAGTGACCCTTTCACTACAAAGGCAAGAGGGTCAAAGTCTAGGCTCTGCAAAAGTGGAGCAACGGTTTACCGAAGAATAAATAAAATGGTCCCCGACTTTCTTATACAGGAAGGTAGGTTCTCCGGGTTTATCCCGATATTCTATGCTTGATTTTTCCCACGTTCGCACTTTTTGCAAGGATACACCAATGGTGTAAACCCCTGCAGCTCCTCACGTTTCAGATAGCCTCGTCGATCAGGCCATGTGGCCGCATTTTGCAAGGCAGATTTCGAGTGCCTGAGCGCCGAGCACCGATGTCTATCTCTGGTAATGATCGTTGTTTTAATCTATATTGTATTCAATATGTTGTCATGGTTGATGGCACTGCTGTCATGATCCCCATACATACATGGAAGTTAAATCTGTCGGAAAATTCTGTGTAGGGGATTTCCAGTTCTTTTTTTCTTTTTTCTTTTTTTTCAGTAATTTACTTGTCTTGGCTATGTACTTTTTTTTTTCTTGAAAAAAAAGAAACGGTTTCTTTTAATTTTCATACAGAAAATGTAATGCATAGTACTTTGTACTCTGTCTCCGTACCCGATTCCACAGCCCGAGTCTAACAAGAACATTTACATTAATTTTTAATCCACCTCTTAACTTCCTCTTCCAGCGAACTTGCATTGGCTTGCACCAAGGATTATTATCCCTGTAGCCCATGTGGCTCTACGAGGTATATTACACTAAAAGGGAAATGAGACCTAATTTAGGGCACGTAACTATGCATGCACTACTGCAGCAGATGCATGCAGCTGAGCCACTAACCAGTTCCAGCCAATGTACAAATTGATTGTTAACTCAAACAGGAGTAAGTGATTTTGTTCGTTTCAGCTCCGTTACCGTGTCCATGTCCGTGGACAAACCTGTTAGTATGGATTAGGAAGGTGCTCGTGTTGATCTGGGATGATTTTGGTGTATTTAGTTTACTTTATACTTATTTATAACAATTTATAACCATTCCACTCCGTACACTCCGTATCCGATATTATTAGTCTGCATGTGTAGTGAATTTACGCGAGATTCTCCCGATCGGCTCGGGAGATCTCTCGACTCATGTATGGAGCAAAAGAATCACCGCAAATCAATATCCTAGACCTATCCTAGATTATGTGAGGAGTCAACGCACATTATTAATATCTACCATCTTAGTAATAGGTAAAAGTTTTTAGGCTACCCTAAATCCGCCAAACCCCGACCAGCAACGGACCGGGTTTTGTAGGGATGTTGTGAGAATCATTTCTCTGATACTTCGATTTGGATTTGAGTTAGAAAAGTCCTCTAGACCAGAATACGAAACCGGCCTGCACAACAAAGGGGTGTAAACCAATCTTGACAAACTTTCGGGAGGCATTTATTTACTCCAGAGGTTTACAGTCTAATCTCACAATATGGGGCAAACTAGATCTACGTACTCCGTATATTGCACACGGATCATGGTTCGTCGATTCTTCCGGTGACCCCCTTTTTTCATTTCCCCTACAAGGTTTCTTTTGCTCTGTATACAACATACACACGTGTACGGAGAGTCGTATCTTCCGATGTGCGATGTGCGACGGAGCTAGTTCCTTCGCTCTGTTCCGTGCCATCGAGACCACATGGCCAAAACTGTGGGCCTTTGTAGATCACTTAACGGGTGTCGGTGTCACAGAGTCCTCTCCAGTTTGGAGTACCTAACTATCTAGCCTGCTTAGGTAGGTTGTTGTTTTTTTCTTTTTTTTTTTTTTTTCTTTAGGGAATGTCCGCTAATCTCAATCTAGCTATACCCTGTGAATCTTTCCGGCATACAGCAGACTAGCTACTCGCATAACTCCTAGAATAGTACCTCACGAAGATAATTAAGGAACATTACACCGTCCTTTTGCAGTAGTCGACGGCAGCAACCCCCATTCGGAAGAATTTCTATTCTGCAACCAACAGCCTCAAACCAATCGGGGTCGAATTACCCTGCCTAGATGCTCTTGAGACTAGGTGCATAGCCAACGGCTCAAGAGAGAAGATCCCCACAAGCAAGACATCATGCGCAACCGGTGTTTTGGGCGTCAGCGTGCATCTGCCTAGTTATGCTTGTTAACGCTGTTGGTTTTTGTGCTATCTCTATTGGCTCGTTGTTCTGCAGCGTGAGGATAATTGTGTAACAATTGTCCGATTGGGGAGGGGATTGGAAATAGGAAGGGCTAGTGTATTATTATTTCTTTCTAGACCTTTTTGAGATGCAATATAAAATATCCAATAATATACAATATATGTATATTGCATATTGCATATTGTATGGATACTCCGAACTCCGTATAGTGAAGGGATCGGCGTTCGAGTTCATATGAATTCCGGACATATCGGCAATTTACTCCGGAATCACCGTAAGTATTCCGTAGACCTCACATTTTGACATGGATTATGAGAAACAAATATGGGACCAATGTACTCCGTACGGAGCACCGAGTAAAGAAAGACTTGGCAAAGAGTAGTGGCAGTCTTAGACTTTGATACGAGTCAAGTAGATCCGAAACAGCCCGACTAATCTCCTTCTATTTTTGCCTAGTTGTCCAACATCTTTAGTGGGTAATCTCCAGCCCCGACGGGAAAATCATCCATCCTTCTGTGGGACAAGGGTTATTTTATCACCACATATGATTCATCCGCTGTAACAGGCTACCAGACTAGCATGATTAGCATCCTTCAATCTCTTTTCTCTCTCCTGCAGGTCTAGATCGTCACTAAATTAGTGTCGGTTCGAGCCATGTGGTTGTCAAGTCCGGTTGAAGTCCGGTCCGTATCCGTCTAGCCGCTGTTGGGGCTGACGTTGATCTACTTGGACCGTCGATCACGACGGGTTTCTCAAATCGGGACGGGATTCGGTGATTCGGTGATTCAGTGGGAGAGGCTATGTGGTTATGGACTAGTTTGTTAGCTAGGATTGGGGCTAGCCAGCTGGCAATCATGACCCGTGCGGCCTTTTGTGAGGTCTGTTTGTATCTCTTTCCTGATGCCATGGAAAGTGAGGGGATGAGATGCTAGGCATCAACGAAGGGTAGTTAGAGATTGTCTTCTCCTCTGGTGGTTTGATCGAGGAAGCTGGACTGGATGTTTGATGCTGAACCGTTTCTAGTTTAAGAGCCATGGACTTTGAAAGTCGGGCATGCTCAAATTTCTGTGAAGGGGATCTTTCATCTCTCGAAGGTTGTGAATAACCTCATTTTGCAGGGAAAGAACGGAGCGTTCGGTGGTCTTTGTTCCTTCTAAAACACGAGACGAACATCGACCTTGGACTCATCTGATGTGTTCCAATATTGTTTGTTATCTTGTTTGTTGATTGACGCGATTTTCAATGTTTGCTTACCTTGTCGAGACTGAGGTTTTTATCATTGCTCCTTCAAATGTTGCATCCTCTTGTTTTCTCTTCTTCCCACAACATTTGCTTTGTGTTTTGGCTTCGCTCTCCTATTGAACTCTCCTCGTCTCTAGTCCATTATGCCTCCGGACCCTACTACCAACCCTGCTGGGACGCCTGGGGCGAGTCCAGATATTGAACGGGAACTCCCCGTGCGCTCTGTCCCGGTAGAGACAAGCTGGTGCATCCACTGCTTCAGAACAGCAGCTCATAACTGGAACGAGACTGGATGGGTTCAACCCTTCAAGGTGAACTGCATTCGCGATGCTATCACTTCCAACCGTTGTCAACGATGTCGCCATGCCCGTGACAAGTGTGAACTTGTGAGTATACTCATTTCTTAGTGTGTGTGTCATTCGATCGTATGTTATACTCATTTCGAATGCTCATTTGCAGCTCTATGAGGGTATCCGGGGCCACGGGTTCGAACTGCACGCATTGCTGGAGTGGGTATTGGAGTTCTGGGTCAACGAAAATTCAGGAATCGGACAAACTGATGATGCTGCGCTGGTTCACGGTATTGAAATTGTTCGAACCGTTGCAGTGGCTGTGCGAGCTCTCTGCTCCGCTCTTGATTGTCTAATAAAATCCCACGGAAAAGCTCACAACTTAGTGGGCAAGCGTGGTGGTGATGCCGTGAGTCCATCTCATCTTTTGCTCTCTTCCTGCACAGCACACTGACATTTCGAGGGGTGTAGGCAAATAAAGCTTCCTATGCTCAATATTGTTCTTCTGGGCGTCATTTCTTGCAAATTCCACCTCCGCTTGATCCCCATGGTGATGGTACTCCTCACCCAAAGTGCGTCAAATTTGAGCACTGTTCTCGCCAGAACCTTCGTCTTGCCACCAATTCTGACACTGGTCTGCCGTGGTACCTCTCCATTCTCTCGTTCAAGCGAACCATCGAGGATTTGATCCGAAATGAATATGACCATAGTGACACCAACACCGTCACCTGGTATACTGCTATGTTGGCGACATTCCCCTTGACCATCCCTGAGTTGTAAGTACAGGTAGTGTTGTCCTCTCGTTCTCTTCTTATATTCTTTTCCTTTACTTTTTAGGTGATATCTGTGAGCTCGTTGCTTCCATTTAGCGTCCCATATTTTTCCTCTCTCGCAAGGTTCCCCAAGGTTTCCCCATCTTTGTACGGTGAGGCATGGATTTTGGAGGGAACTTGTTTGAATCTGAGCTCTCATACTGAATCCACTTGCTTGGGGTCTTTGTGTCCGTTTCTTGTACTTCGTAATAATGGCTCTTCGGGCGTTATTCATTGCCTCTTTGTTTATATGAAAACATAACTGTAAAAGTAGCAAGCACGTGGCTCATTGATTGCAACAGACCTCGGGAGCGGGCTGAAGGTCGTCAATCTATAATTGAGTTTGACCTGGTTATATGTGAGAACAACTGATATGCTTTGAATGTTCTTTTCATGTAGACGGTGTTCTATGTATAACCAGGGACTAAAGCACCCTGAAACGCCAGAGATATCCGAGAGAGATATATATATACATACAAACTTCCGGTAGACTCAGCTTTGGCTAACGAAACCACTATTAGTTTAGTTCACAATTAGTTTAGTTTACAAGCAAATGGCCACAGACTGATGTGCATATCCATTCTCACATTAAGTACAGCTGATTGACCTCGCCTATTTACAGCCACCCATCTCTGAATTAGCCCGAACCGGAGCGAATTGCCGAACGCGAGAAGCTCATTATGGGACCGATAGGTAAAGACTTGACTGGAAACAAGAAAAGAGACCACGAGGGGGAAAAAAAGTAAAAAAAAAAAAGAATCACATAAAACGAATGATTTGCTCATAAAAAGGAAAATGTCGATTGATAGAGCCGAAATAGAAAGAAACGCCTTTTCGAACACAACGTCTCTATATCCACCAAGACTTCACTATAATTGAACAAGATACAATGATCGGGGTTTTCGGCAGAGAAGTCCGGTGGTGCGGTTTATTTCCCAATGTAGACCCCAAGAAGTGTTTGATCGAGAAGCAGGGTAACGTTGTCTGAGTGTCTGAGATGTAGACGGAGGGTACTGGTTAAAAAAAGCAACTCAGAGACAGGGCCGAAGAGACATCAGGTCACAAGCTGGGGACACCGATTCGGGTCAAGCCATATGCCGTTCGGATATTATAACTCCGCTGAATAAACCGACTGAAAAATAATGACAACAAGATAGGGAAGCTCTCATAAAGTAGTTCGATCGAGGCAGAAATGACGTAGGTTTCGCTAATACCGAGTGGAGATAAGAAATAGAGGGAGGATGGATGGTTCGAAAAATTCGTATTGGTTTAGCGATCGGGGTTCGTCACCTGTATCATAAGTCAGCCTGGAAAGCATGTTATAAGGTGTTGTGCATGCTTACCTGCAAGATCCGACGAGAGAAGTCATGGTCATCATCAATGCTACCATTGCTTTGGCGGCGCTGAGCCATGTAGTCGCCATCGAACCGAGAATCGGACATCGAGGGCGGGCCAGAGTCACGGCCATAGCCGCCACTGCCACCAGCCGCGGCATTGGTCTTGTTCTTCTTGGATCGCCACCAGAAGAATACAGCACCGCAGAGAGCAGCGAACCCAACAACTCCAACGACGACTCCGGCCGCAATTGCCGCAGTGTTCTTGCTCTGAGAGGACTTTTCATCCATATTATCAAAGACACTGCTTTGGGTAGGCACAGATGTCGCGGTCTCTGTTGTTTCACTGGCAGTGGTGGAAGTAGTTGAGGTAGACCCGTCAGCTTGCGTCGTAGTTTTGCTATCGCTACTGCTTTTGGTTGTGGTTGTGGTGGATTTAGAGTCAGAGGGATCGGAGTACGTGGGCACATCGTCTTCCAGGTTTGTGGTGTAGATAGAGTAGTAGCTGGAACCACCGCCTATTCGAGATTATCGTTAGTAACTCAATTCTCTGAGACTTATGAGTAGGCGATAGACATACACATATCATCGGGCCAGCCACTGCATGACGTGCTGCATTTGTCGCTTGAAACCTTGGCACTGTCTGGTGGCATCGTATTACCGCACACACAGTCAGAACCTCCTGTCAGAGCAAATGTCGCGTAGTCCTTGGCACAGTGGTCCAGGCACCATCCGGAACTCTGGTATGTCCAGCTCGTTGACTTTCCGTATCCAGGAATGCTCGAGTAGCAACCCTTGAGTGTGGCAAATGGTGACCCACGAGGAAGCACCTTGAAGTCATTTGCAACTGCGGAGGTGGCTGCCAGTAGTAGACTAGACACCGCGAGGGCGCCTTGGGTGTTGAAAAGCATGATGTAATGGGAAAAGAGGAAAGTCGAGTATCAAAATCAGTGAGAAATAAACACCGCTGGACACAGTCACAGGGGTGATTGACGAAGGACCGGGGACGACCTGCGTAACCCTTAAGAACTTCTGTTTGGATGTATGTCGGTAAACGTCGTTTGTTCTCCCACTGTCCACCACGTTGGATCTGAATTATTCGGTCAGATACTCAGGGTGTATCTAAGAGGAAGTCGAGGTTTTTTGCGGTCGGAAAAAAAGAGTGAAAGGAAGGTGAGTTCGCGTCCTGTTGACGGGTACCCGGAGTAGGTGGTCGAGTAGAGGTTCACCCCCTACAATTCTGGAGAAAGTAGGCGACCGTGAACGAAGAAGCAGTTCAGTTGATAATCCCCAAGTAAAGGGAGTAAACGAGCGAAGAAATCGGGTTGTCGGTAACGAATGTGTGCAAAGGGGAGATGGAAAGATCAGGAGGGAAGAGAAGTGATGGATAATGGATCCCTTGAGAAAGGGACTGTCAAGGGGTCTGTGTTCCCCGGAGAAGGTATGAGGTACTTGGACTATGGGGGGAAGGCCCTGGTACACTCGCGTACCGGGTACTTTCAGTGCAGGTCTTTCACGGGTGGTTTTAATGTTGTTTGCTCCTTGTATGGTACAGTACTAAGGTATACAAACAAGCAGCCTTCCAATGATACGTCGAGATACATTTAGGTAATCAGGCACCCGCCCAGCTAAACCAGGGGACTGAAGTGGATCAATTTCCTATTTTGGTCAGACACGGCAGCTGGATGGAGTCCTTGGGCATTCCGCTAGTCTACTTCGGGGGCCAAGTAGTGATGATGAGACTCTGTGTGAATTTCACCCAATATTCAATATCCAATATTATGGAGGTTATGGAGGTTATGGAGGTAATACTCTGTACTTTACATGAACTTATGAAAGATCGTCCTTGCCACATGAAAAGGACCCTTGATGACGACTTCCAAGGTTCTTTTTTGTTTTACCCCTCAAAAATTGTACAACGCACAGCATCATTTACCTTAGCCTTGGGCTAACGCTTTGTTCCATCTTGGGGTCTGCCTCCATTGATCTGCTGTGTTCTCCGTATAAATGACCGGTCAACATACGCCACGGACATTTGTGGCTGACAAAGCGCATCCTTGGCTGATTGTCGAGGGGAAATACAGATCTCCATTTGATAAATTGCAGCCGAATTTTGCCCTTGAAACAAAAAACGGAGCCAATTTCAATACTCGGTACAAGCGCTAAGAACCTTGAGTTTTGGTACTGAGTACTCCGTACAATATGAAACCTCAAGGATTAACATCCAGCATTTCGTATACTTCGAGTAATCGCACCTTGTACTCAACCTCACCAGGTATCTCTTCTTTATCCCTGTTCACACCCCTTTTCCATGTGCGATCAAAATTATTTCCATGGGTAATGAGCGGCCACTCCCGGGTGGACCGTACCAAATTACCCTCATCTGTTCTTGCTCTACATTGATACACCGTACCGTTATGTAACAAGCAATGCCCTGCTTCAGCCACAAAAAAACGGTTGGTAGGTCCATAATGAAATTTACGCTCTGTAAAATAGGGCACTGTGGCTCAAGACCTGCCATCTCTGATGTGCAAGTCTACAAATGGTTCTATACAACATAAAAGGCACCTACTAGAGGTTGGGTTCTTGTACTTAGTAGTTATGTCGTGTATTGTACCTTCCTTTTTTTCAAGGCTTATGTGTTTAAAGTGTTTGATTCGTGACTTGACCCCATAACAATATATGGTATTGTTAGCATTGCCTACTACGTATTCTCATATGTAACATCCCTGGAGATATCGGTTATTTACTCTAGCCACGTTACCATATCCGAGATTACTGACTTTGAGACATCCACAGACCATTTTGAATGAAAAGATAAAGTTATGACTCTGTACCCGTACTAGTAATTATTATGCGGTGAAATGCGCTTCGGATGGCTAATGTGTATAATGTATCCTCTGGACCTTGCAGATCTAGTCCCTTGCAACCCGTTCTGGGCCATACATAGATGCCATACATAGATTCTATTTCTATTGCAACCCGGCCATTTCATTATAAGCCTCGTTTTAAACGGTCAATACAGCTCCCTGCGCAGGTGGGCATCTTACCACGGGACACTACCACGTTCGATAATTTTAGCCAATTCAATGTCATTGACCTAACTTCTAAAAACGCTCGTGGCCATAGAGCCCACAGAGCAAACAATAAATGCCCAAAGAAGAGCGATCTTCCAACAGTGAGACATATTGCTCGCCATTTTGTCAGGTCCGACATCCGAGTATTACAAACTCAGAGCCTCCAAAAACACAGTATGCATAGGCAGTACAGGGTTTGTACTGCATCTCCGTACTCGTACACAGTAATGCCTCAACGAGCCAACATGTCTAGACCTGTCCAGTCGGTATTTCTGTCTGGACACAGATATTCCGGGACCAAGTGGCGTCCACTAGACCAGCTGGAATCTCCACCTGCCAAAGGAATCATGTAGAAACGCATCCCTTTGGATACGGAGTCCACAGCAATAATTAAAATCCAAAGAGAACAGGCTTTGTTTGCTTAAACCGTATTTATTTGGATGGACGTGAACACCAGTTCATTTGTTCAAATTGTGGTAAGAGTCTTCGAATTTGGATATCAAAGTGAAACTTGCGTCTGGGTCTAGACCCTGCGTGCTTGGCCAAGAGAGACCATTCTAATTTTAAAAATTTAAAATTCTGATTTGGCCTGTGACCTTTATTCTGCCTGCCATATTCTAGATCATGCGGAAGGGCCGGCTCGATGATTACCCCGGAAGAGACTGTCATGTTGGACATATCCCCAGATCCTAATGATAGGATATCAACATTAAATACTAAACGTTACATACACACACGGAAGAAAAGAGAGAAAAAAAAGGAGATTATTATTACTCAAGCTCAACACAACCCGGATTGAATATAAAAATTAAGAACAAAACAATACCGTCAAACCCAAGCCTCAAACCTCAGATATACGAGTAACTTGCACATATCCCCACCGACCTATCTGGAACCCGTCGCTGGACACCATCCTGATCCACTTCCTTCTCATAGAACCAACACCATCCACGAGCACAAACATAATGAATTCCATGTTGCATCTCCTTCGAAGTTCCCGATATCTGCCTACGGGTGTACAGGCCGCAATGGCAGAACGGGTTGGCCGGACTTATCCCGCGTTGGTCAGCAAAGCAGATGAACCGATCACATGGGTAGCATTTGTAATATGGGCGCCCTGCATTGCCGTTCGGGTTGTTGTCGTGGACTTTCAGTCTCATGCCATCTTCGTAGCATTTAGGGCATATTGGGGTTTGGAGTTTGGTGATCGTCATCGCTGTAGTCGTGATGGGCTTGGTCTGCTATAGTGGCTGACTTAGATATGATCTTGTAAGCTGGTGATAGGGCTTTCTATGTAAACCTACCTTCGCTTTAGATTATCTGTATTCCAGGATTGTTTGTTGCCGTATCGAAGTCCTCGTTCGTAGCCCTGGACGCTGTGAGAGATACAGCCAAGTGGTCATTATGACGATCTCTATAGGTCAATATTGCGTGGATGTCTGTATTCTCGAAAGAATTTCCATGGTTCAACTTACAACCACCCATGAATAATGACAAATTAATATATAACAATTGCAAATCGATGGGTTTAATACGTTGCCATTGTAAACCACAACAACTCCCGCGCCAAACCTTCCACGGGAGCTATACTCTTCAAGAGCGCTTTATAAATATATACTAGATGCCCAGGAACCAGACATTGACGGCAATTGTCCAACATCAGGTCGCAGAGGTAACATCCTCCACGAGCACAAACATAATGTAGGCCATGTGGGACCTGCTTTCCGATATCTGCCATCTCCCTTCGAGAGTACTGACCGCAATCGCACCGCGGGTTAGCGGAACTGATATTGCGCTGGTCGTCGAAGTAAATGAATCGATCACATGGGTAGCATCTGTAGTATGGCGTCCTACTCGGGTTGTGAGGTTTCAGGAACTATTTGGCCATCATACTTAGTTATACATATATTAGTTAGGTTCCTCCGCGTAGTTTATGTTTATTGTTTTATTTTTACCATATTCACATCTAAAAAGACATGACAAGGCCGAAGTGGTCAGCATTGCATGTGCATATGCGCGTTGTCAAAGTTGATGGAGTATCCATGGCTCACTTGCTTGTATATCAAAGATCGAGGACAAGCGGGTGCGCTGTTACCAAAAGCTACATCTTCAACATGTTGACTGTCTTGGACACAGTCAATCCAACCCCTACGCAGAAGCCACAATGACTATAGTCAATCTATGCAATTGAAATTCAATTAAACGTCCTTATTTAAGTGCATCGAGATCATGCTATGCCTTGCCTCCAAACGAAGGCTCCCGATATTTATTTTCAGTTGTCCAAGTTGAGAGAGACAACAGACTCAGGCATTTTTTTCCCCCAAGAGTAAATGCGCGGTCAAGTTTGGGTTGAGCTCATGGCTTAGGAATGTGTATCGTCTTGCTGACCATCATGCATCCATGCAGAACGAACATCAGGACCACGGGGTGGAATTCGAAGATGGTACCTTCTGCGATAAGACCAAGAGGGATGTTCTCGTGTGTCCAGCTTTGAGAGACCCAGTAGGCCATAAGGGAAGCGATTGACAGAGTGGTCGGAATAGGCGTGCCTTCGAAGTACTTGGATTTGCCAGTCTGGTCCTTGGGCAGCACGGCTACAGTCACGTTGAACCGAGCGAGGCGGGTCAGACCACAGAGAACGAAGAATGAAAGGAAGACGTGATCAAGCGAGGTCCGAATACCAAGAGCGAATGCGGCAGCGGCAGGAGCGAGACCGAAGGAGATCTGGGAATAAGAGACTTAGCAACAGGTCGGTTGTGGTTACTTGCCGGGATCATTTACCAAGTCCGCTAGCGAGTCGAGTTCTTGTCCCATGAGAGACGACTTCTTGCGCCACCTTGCGACTTTGCCATCCATAAAGTCGAAGAACAGACCGAAAGGCATGAATGCGAGGGCCGCCCAGATGGCACCGTATTCAGTTGGGTCTCCGAGGCAGTAGCGCATGGAGGAAAAGACCGACATGACTGCTCAACAAATTAGTCGCGGATTGGGGAAGAACGGTTGGGAAATATGAGCTTGCCTCCGCAGAAACCTAAGATAAAGAGTTAGCGAGCCAATTCAAACAAATCGTGATAACGTTGCGATCTCTCACCATTCATTTCAGTAATCAGATCAGCAAGATGCATGGCCCTATTGAGTGTTAGGCTGAGCCGAGGGCAAAGGAGCACGGGAAGCACGAGACTGACTTCACCATGCTAAAATGACCATGATCCGAGGAAAGCAGCATTTTCTGCTTCTCCTGGCCTGGAAAATGTCAGCCATATTGCCAATGGGCGCTCAGAGGGAGCTATAACGCACCTCCATCACCTGAAGGTGGGACACTGCTGGAGGAATTGCTCGATGCCATGGCCGATGTTCGACGAGACATGCTCAAATGGATATCAGATTCGAAAAAAGTTTATGGCAAAAGGATACTCTGTTTCAATAAGATGTCTAAAAGGCAAGGTTGGGTAGGAAGAATAAAAATGCTGTCAATCCTGCTTTGGGAATGTTGACGGACGCACAGATTCGCTGAGCGGTCAACGTCATTTCAAACTGCAGAGGCGGTGCAGCCGCGCCACATACACTAGCCACATCCCAACCAAATATCCGAGCCGATTATCCCCCAATTTCTAAACGAGTCGCTACGGTTTAATATGCAATTGCAAGTTCTGGAAAATTCAATGAAAATAACAGAAACATTTTTGACTGGTGATATTCTACAGCCTGCAGCCAGTGAAGTTGCAATTGCGCAGGATGCACAAGAAGACGGAAAGATATTCCTGAAAAAGCTCCCAGATCCCCCAAAACGCCATAAAGAGACAGTACATTGGATCGATCAATAGCCGCGACCGCGGAAGCCACCACCACCACGGGGGGCACCGCGACCACCTCCACGAGAGAAGCCACCGCTACCGCCGAAACCACCACCGCGACCACCACCACGACCACCACCGAAGCCACCACGGCCACGGGGAGCACCGCCACGGGCACCGAACCCACCGCGGCCACGGGGAGCACCAAATCCACCACGGCCACGGGGAGCACCACCACCGGCGCGCTTGGGCTTAGCAGCTCCTGGAGGAGGCTTGGGCTTGGGGAGGAACCTAAGAGGTGAGTTAGTCAGAGCGTAGAAGAACGAGTTAAACAGCAAATCATACTTCTCAAGAGGGAGCAGCTTATCTCCACCAATGTAGACCTTGTCACCAGCCTTGAAGGAAGTGGCGACAATACCGTCTTGGGGCTTGACGGTGAAGTAGACCTGGTTAATGGGACCGAGAATCTCGTCGACCTTGCCGATTTGAGTCTATAAAACCAGTTAGACCATAGAATTGTATATTATATTGGTTTTGTGGAGTATTGGCGTACCTTGTTCTCCAAGTAGATAGGAGCGTTGAAGTAAGGAATCTTGGGGTTGACCGATTCGCAGACCATCTCACCCTCGCAAGAGTGCATCACGGAACCCAACTCTATCGGAATATCAGCGATATGAATCAATTATAGTCAGGTTCAGAAGAATAATTACCCAGAACCTGGGCTGGGGGGCCGAATGACTGCTGGAAGCCTCCGCGACCTGCAATAAAAAAAAATTTCGTTAGCTCCTTTTAACTTCTCACATCGCATTCACGTTAGAAAATTCTCACCACCACGGCCACCACCGAAACCTCCCCGGTTGGCACCAGAAGCGTTACCACGACCACGGAAAGACATTTTGTGGTGATAAGGGTGATTGACTTGACAAAGGCTGGAGGAGTTTTCGCTTGGTGGAAACTTGAAGCGGTAAAGTGTCGGCTAAGGGCAGTACCATCACGTGCTCTTTGTTTCACCGCCCTCACAAAGAGTCATACCCCCCTCCACGCGGAGTATACCACAGAGTTTTTGCTCACAGTCCAATTCCCTTGTGTCATCGCTCCAAGGGTTTCAACAATGGCATCCGAACCCCCCAAGGATCTACCTGTGCGGTCTGCCGCTGAAGCGCAGGCTAATAACGCCTCTGAAGCTGCCAGTGCCCCTCCAAAGGATGCGAAAGCGGAATCCAAGCAGGCCCCGAGCCCCGATACCCTTCCAGAGTTCATGATTGAGCGAAACAAACTTTTCGAGGAACTCTGGCAACAATATCTCGAGGAGACCAAGACCCGTCCCCACCCAGAGATCAACGTTACTCTTGACATTGGTGACGGTAACCCCCCCTCCTCGGTCCCCGCCAAAGCCTTCGAGACCACTCCTGGATCTTTCTTGCGTGATGTGCCCAAGGATATAAGTGCCAATATTGTTATTGCCAAGGTCGATGGAGAACTGTGGGATTTGAACCGGCCCCTAGAGAAGGACTGTGGTGTGCTTCTTGTGCCTTTCAGCAACCCTGAGGCCCGTGAGGTATTCTGGCACTCTAGTGCTCACACTCTAGGCGAGGCCTGCGAGTGCCATTACAAAGCCTTGCTGAGCCACGGACCGCCTACTCCTCAGGGTTTCTTCTACGATATGGCCATGCCCGACGGGTATGTTATTCTTATCGCCTACTATTCACATGGCGTTAATGCTAATATATGTGGGAAAACAGACAGGTTGTCAAGGAGGCTGACTGGAAGGCACTTGACACCAAGGCTGCACGTATCTTCAAGGAGAAGCAAAGCTTCGACCGGTTGGATGTTTCCAAGGAGAACCTGAAGAAGATGTTCGCATACAGCAAATACAAGCTACACTATATTGACAAGCTTGTCACCGGCGAGAGTAGCACCGTCTACCGTTGCGGTACCCTTGTCGATCTCTGCAGAGGCCCTCACATTCAGAACACCGGCAAAATCAAGACCTTCAAGATCATGCAGGTAAGTGTGGCTGGTCGACCTATTGACCGAGGAAGACGCATACTAATTTTTACTCCCAGAACTCATCGGCCTACTTCCTTGGCGACCAGTCCAACGACTCTCTGCAGCGTATTCGTGGTGTTGCCTTCCCCGACAAGAAGCTGATGGCTGAACACTTGAAATTTTTGGAGGAAGCTGAGAAGCGGAACCACCTGAGAATCGGCAAGGAGCAAGAGCTGTTCTTCTTCGATGAGGTGTCCCCTGGCTGTCCATTCCTCCTCCCCAACGGAACCAAGATCTTGAACCAGATCCAGTCTCTTCTACGCACTGAATACCGTAAGCGAGGTTACCAGGAGGTCCAGACCCCCAACATGTACGACGTTAGCATCTGGAAGACCTCTGGACACTGGGCCCACTACAAGGATGATATGTTCAAGTTGGATGTCGAGAAGCGCGAGTGGGCTCTTAAGCCCATGAACTGCCCTGGACACTTCGCTCTCTTCGCCCACCGTGAACGTAGCTACCGTGAGCTTCCTATGCGTATTGCAGACTTCGGTGTCCTGCACCGCAACGAGGCTTCCGGAGCGCTTCAAGGCTTGACGAGAGTGAGGAGGTTCACACAGGATGACGGACATATTATCGCAAGCCAGAGTCAAATTATGTCTGAAGTCGAGGGTCTGTTCGATTTCTTGCATTCCATATATGGGCTGTTTGGCTTCACCTTCAAGTTGAAGCTGTCCACCCGGCCCGAGAAGTATATGGGATCTTTGGAGACCTGGGACCACGCTGAGGACCAGCTTAAGAAGGCTCTGACCAAGTTTAAGGGTAATGATTGGGTCATTAATGAGGGTGACGGTGCCTTCTACGGACCCAAGATCGACATCACAATTGAGGATGCTCTCAAGCGTGAATTCCAATGCGCGACCATCCAGCTGGACTACCAGGCCTCGCTGAACTTCAAGCTGGAGTATCAGACCAACGAAAATCTGGAGAAGAACACCGGGGAGGATGCGAAGGGCGAGACCAAGTCCGGCGATCTGCCCCCCGGCCGTGCCCGCCCTGTTGTCATCCACCGTGCTATTATCGGTAGCTTCGAGCGATTCCTGGGTATCTTGATCGAGCACTTTGGTGGCAAGTGGCCGTTCTGGGTCAGTCCGCGCCAGATCCTAATTGTGCCAGTAATGCCGGCTCTGAACGACTACGCTGAGGAGCTGCAGCGTATCCTCCAGGGTGACAAGTTGAATGTGGACGTTGACGTCAGTGGCAACACCCTGCAGAAGAAGATCCGTACTGGCCAGCTGGCCCAGTACAACTTCATCTTTGTTGTCGGTGCCCAGGAGAAGGAGTCACGCACCGTCAACATTCGCAACCGTGATGATCCTGCGACCCAAAACAAGGGTGTCATGGTCCCTCTGGAGGAGGCGCGACTCAAGCTCCGGGCGTTGCGCAAGGAGCGTCGGCTGGAGAACACTCTGTAGGGGATAAATTCGTTACTGACTTATGAAAAGCGAAATGAATCACATGCGGATATTCTACTGATTTTATTAAATATATCCCATACATTCCTAATGTAGTAGCGCAATTAGGGTCTAAGCTAAGCCACAGAACGCTGCACCCTTAAAGCGAACACAACCTGGGTAGATAAACATTTTTCTGACTTTAAAGACGTGAGTGCCTATTCGAAGTTTAGTCTACTTAGTGATCTCCTATTAGAAAAAATCCAACCTGCTGCCCTTAGTTCTTTGACAGATTTCTGCGCTTTTGGTCCCTATGGTCTACAGAATCATAAGCCCTAATTTTCTTCTATTTACATACCCTGCCTATATAAGAAGTCTTTATCACAATCCAACAACTTCGTCTCGTAGAGACTTTCCAGATTTAGGTTACGGAAGGAAAGAAAGCTTTGAGATTTGTTTTGATTTTCTGTCCTCCTATGTATTAGGGCCGAAACAACCATATTTCTCATTGCGTAGCTAGCATACTCTCTTTCAACTCTCATTAATATCGTTATCTTGACTACTAATATCTGCTCTCGCGCATAATACTTTAAAATTATAGGTAGACCCTTTGTAGATTAGATACAGCGATGACATTATGTCTATATACAAATAAGGGTAGGTGCGATTCTCTGATGTCTTGGGTTTCTTTAATCATTATACCATCTTTTTAAGACAAGGTAGGTTCCAACACGATGAGTGGAAGAAAACGGATAGGCATGGTGTGCATCTGAACTTCCCTGAACTACAGGAAGCCACTTCTTTTGCTTCCTCACGCTCAGTCTTGCATCTTAAATCCACTATGTTAGTTGTAGTCTGTAAAATCCTCTTTGGGTGTTCTTGCTTCATCTAACCTAGATAACTTTTATATCACTCAAGTCATTACATCTTCGGTTGACCCGGGCTACCGCGGCCATGTGTCTTAGAATTGCTTGCCCATCACCTGTGATAAATATGGTCATTTACTCTCCCTCTTTCTGCGTTCCTAGATTGCTAGATAGATAGGTCTATACATTCTTGCTTGTCCATTCACTTTAGAGTTATAGATATCCTGTCGTCATTCTTACTACTAGATTTGTCGAGGTCTCAAGATCTTTATCTTCTAAACCACCTTCACCAGCATCTCAATTCGGCCTCATCTTAGATCTTATAAGGATCATCCTACTACTTGTTCTGCTAAGGCTGTAACACCTTCAACTACTCCCACTAACGCCTCATTTAAACCTCGCCTCAGTTAGACCTCGTCTCAATTAAGCCGTATCTCAGTTAAGCCTCATCTCAATCAAGCCATATCTCAATTAGGTCTCATATACGTGATCCTGCTGCTTGTTTGCTCTGCTGAGATCTTGAAACTTTCATCTCTTTGGACCGTTTGAACCAACACAACGATGGAGGGGGTGTCTTATCTATGCCCGCTCGCAGCGGAACTTGGGTGTGATAAAACATTTCCCTATAAAAAGAATGCAATCAGACACGCTAAGGAGGTGGACGCCCGGCACTTCCCATGCCCACGTGCAGACGAACTTAATTGTCGCAAGAATTTCGTCTCGGAAGAAGTTGCAGACGATCATGCTGCAAGTGCGCACGACCAAAGAGAGCCTTTGCCATGCCCACGCGCGGACGACCTCGAATGCAAGGAGACGTTTTACTCGATAACGAATGCACAGAGGCATTCCAAGAATGTGCACGGTGTTGACAAATGGCGCTGCCCACGCGCAGATGAGGTGGATTGCCAATTAACGTTTGGCTCGGAAAAAGATGCAAAAAGGCATGCTGACAAAGAAAACAAAACAAAACCTTTGCCGCGCCCTAGTGCAGAGGAGTTTGGATGCGAGCAGACGTTTAATTCGAAAAGGAATGCAAAACAGCATGAGAGGGTTCATAAGCAAATCAAATGGCCCTGCCCGCGCGCAGAGGAATTTGAATGTCCATGTTGATAAGGAAGCTCGACCAAGCTTTCCTTGCCCACGTGCAAAGGATCTCGACTATAAGAACACGTATGTGTCGAAAGGGAATGCAAATTTGCATGCGCAGAGGGCGCATAACGAAGTCAGATATCCCTGTCCCTTGAAAGATAAGAACGGATGCACTGAGATTTTTGTTTCCAAAGACGCTGCAAAAGTGCAAGCGGCCAGGGTTCATCGTGATAAGGGTACTTCTAGCTCCGGATTCCCTTGCCCATGGGCAACGGATCTCAAATGTGAGGGGAAGTTCGCCACGAGTCATAGTGCTAAAAAGCATGCTGCAGATGTGCATGACAAAGCCGAATGGCTGTGTCCTTTGGCTGAAGAAATGGGGTGCGAAATGGAACTCACCGATCAAAGCAATGCCATACGCCATGGAAGGACCGCCCATGGGGACAAGAAAAAGCCAGCTCAAAGGGATGTTCCCCGCCCGCGCGCGAATGAGGAAAATTGTAAAAGTTTTTTTTTTTTCGGACTGGGCTGGTGAGAGAGCACACTCGAAGCTGGCATATGGTAAACCTGAGGCAGATAATACCTTCATTGTGGCGTGGCCGATATCGCCAGATATTCCTCTCAGAGACGCGGACGGGAAAAGAATACCTGGAAGGGACAAGCTCCCAACGATGATCTTTCTGGACGGCAGGTGGAAATGTCCACACGCAGGTTGTCGAACAACCTACTTGAACCCTGTCTGAGCAGCACCTAATAGGAATAACAGGTCTTCGATTCGCTCTCCGATGGTGATACAGAAGCACCCAGAGATGGAGACCAAGGGAGTGAAGCCGAGGATAATGAGAATCCTGAGGATGAAGAAGATGGTGCCGAGGACGGAGAAGACGAAGAAGACGGAGATCACAGCAGTGAATCTGAGTACGACGTTGAGAATTCCGATGATGTTGAACCGACCGCAGAATCGGCAGTTGCGTGGCTGGGCAGTCTGTCAAAAGACCAAAAGATTCTCAGAGAAGGTAAGACATACAAGATATTGCTGTCTCGTGCCTCATTGCTGATTCCCGTACTTTAGCTGCTCGATCTGAAGGCCTGTTCCACCTCGGCCTCAAGTGCCCAGGGCCGGAAATGGTCGTTGGCGGATTAGTGCTTGGCACAAAGGTGTGCCCACGGAGCGCAATAATCTCGTTCGAGGCGGGTGTTTTTTTACAGAGTTCATGCGAGAGACCACATTGGGCTCAAATCCTGATGTGCACCCTGCCACGGGCGTTTCGAGTTTTTGCGACGAAATTTTCTGGAAAGGGACGCCAAACAGAGATTTTGCAGCAATAAAACCTGCATCAGCACTGTGTTGGAGGGGTCTGAATACTGTAAAAAAACACTTCCTCACCTGGAAACCTGGCCCCCCCTGGCGAGGAGGAAAGGAAAGAGCTCAAAAGCCTGTTCGAAAAGGAGAGTTCGGTCCAATGGCACGCGGAAACGGAGGCAATGGCAGAGATTCTGAGGATAGAAAGTCAACCTAAGATCCCGGCTTCCGAAGTGGTCAACATTGACCTCGAGTTTACTTTCTTTTCTCGGGAGGTGCTACACATCGGCCTAGCCGATATGGAAGAAAACAAGGTGCTCGATTGCTTTCCTCGCTATAGCGAGCGGGTGAGAGCGCCTTCGTTTTCCGAAAACCGCCTTCCTGCTCCGCAAACTTGGCTGCAAAAGGCACAGAAACAAAAGATACAGGCCAACTTCACCCAAGAGGGGACCTTAAACGCAAGCAGGTGGTCGAAAGATTCCAAGAAGTGGGGCTTTCAAAGGGCACAATCTTCCTCTCTTGGGCCTCATGAAGATTTGACCTATACTATTTAAGGGAATGGCTCCAGCAAGAAGGCTTCCACGACATTCTCCCCGGTGACGAGAATGCATGTTTACTCTACCACGAGTTCTGTGCCAACTTGCAGAGAGTAATAGGGAAGACTTGCCACCGAGGGAGGGCGTTCCCTCTAAAACTGCCTGTAGTCTTTCCCTTACTTTTCGGCGAGGAGGACCCTCTGTCCGGCAAGAACCATCACGCGCTCATCGACGCCAAGCAGCTGTGTCGGATGGCTAAGGTCTTTATAGACCTTTGCAAACCCCCTGGGCAGCGGCTGGGAGTTGATAAGCTGCGCTCGGGCAAGAGGGAGCGGAAGACTGAGGAGTTTCTCTCTTCCATGCGCTTAAACAAGAGGCTAAAGAGGTCTTGAGATTGCTTCGTTTCCTCCCCCCCAAGTGTTGATATCAATTCTTGCACAACATACATAATTACGTAATACAGGGCTGCATCGGATCCTTCCGGTCTCAGGCGGGCTCTAGTGGCAGAATTGGCAGAATTGGCAGAATCGACCGCTTTCTCTTTTCGTATCTGCCACCTACAACATACATTCTCTAAGCATAAAATGAATTTCGAGTGTTGTACATTCCAGTTCTCACTTGCGACCCAACCTACAAGGCTAGAGCGTCTTCATGCATGCTCGCCTTGAATTTTTTTACTAGTACCTCTGTAGCTATGCACAGGGGCAATATCACATATGAAAGCAATACCAAAATCCATCTTGACAGCGGCCCACTTCACTGAAACACTCAAAGACAGGTTTCAGCCATGCTCTTCATTCTTTGTGTTGTTTCGAAGCTGTATGCAGATACTTCGATACTAGGTACATATGTATGTAGGAACTAGTTAGATACATGTAGTGTATGCAGATAGTATACAAAGAAATCCCCTCTATTTTCACCTTTCACCCTTTCATATCAATCCTTGGATATTCAAGAATCCCAAGGCTTCCACAGTAGATCTCCCTTTTTTTTTAAATTTTAGAAATTGTTCTTTGAACCAATTTCATTCAAAAAAGACCACCAAAACCACCCAAACCACCCAAACCGCCAAAACAACCAAAACAACCAAAAAGTGGACTAAACACTTTTTTACGTGGATCACCCGCGGGGACTGCGGGGCTGAATCCCATCACACTTCTCTCGACCCATCACCCTTTTTTTTCTCCCTTCAACTTCTCTTTTTTTGCTTTTTAAGACCCTGGACCCTCGTTAATTCCATTTCCCTCCATCGCTTTGCCTTCCCTCTAACATTCTACGACTCTACGACGCGACAACTCGCCATGGCTGATTTACAAGGTCGCAAGGTCTTCAAGGTTTTCAACCAGGACTTTATCGTGAGCGAGCAATACAATGTGACAAAGGAGCTTGGTCAGGGAGCCTATGGTATCGTGTGGTAGGTATTCCAGATAGCAAGCGTAGACACTGGAGGATACTGGAGATACACATGTGCTGATAGTCCCAAGCGCCGCAACCAACGTGCAGACCGGCGAGGGCGTCGCTGTCAAGAAGGTCACCAATGTCTTCAGTAAGAAGATCCTAGCCAAGCGGGCTTTGCGAGAGATCAAGTTGCTTCAGCATTTCCGTGGCCATCGCAATGTAGGCCGCAGCTCATCCTTATCAATACCTGGTCCCCGCTAACTCAACCTTCCAGATCACATGCCTGTACGATATGGATATTCCCCGACCGGACAACTTTAACGAAACATATCTCTATGAGGGTACGTGCTGTTCTGCTGTTCTACATCGGATAGAGCTGGACTGATAATCCTGCAGAGTTGATGGAATGTGATCTGGCTGCCATCATCCGCTCCGGCCAGCCGTTGACCGATGCCCACTTCCAATCCTTCATCTACCAGATCCTCTGTGGTCTCAAGTACATCCACTCGGCCAACGTCCTGCACCGTGATCTCAAACCCGGTAACCTGCTGGTCAATGCCGACTGCGAGCTCAAGATTTGTGACTTCGGCCTGGCTCGTGGTTTCTCCATTGACCCGGAGGAGAACGCAGGCTACATGACCGAGTACGTCGCAACCAGATGGTACCGTGCGCCGGAGATCATGTTGAGCTTCCAAAGCTATACCAAAGCAAGTATGTAACGCCACACCGTAACTTGCTACGCAAGCAGAGTCTCCGCTAACCCCCACATTTACAGTTGACGTCTGGTCCGTGGGCTGCATCCTCGCCGAGCTCCTCGGCGGCCGACCCTTCTTCAAGGGTCGCGACTACGTCGACCAGCTGAACCAGATCCTGCACTACCTAGGCACACCAAACGAAGAAACCCTGGCACGCATTGGTTCCCCTCGCGCCCAAGAATACGTGCGCAACCTGCCCTTCATGCCCAAGGTCGCCTTCAAGCAGCTGTTCCCTCAGGCCAACCCCGACGCGTTGGACCTGTTGGACCGCATGTTGGCCTTCGATCCGTCGTCTCGTATCTCCGTCGAGGAGGCTCTCGAGCACCCCTACCTGCACATCTGGCACGATGCCTCTGACGAGCCAAACTGCCCCACGACCTTCGACTTCCACTTCGAGGTCGTCGACGAAGTTCCCGACATGCGCAAGATGATCCTCGACGAGGTTATCCGCTTCCGCGCTACCGTCCGCCAGCAATCGCAGGCCCACGCCGCCCAGCAGCAGCAGATCGCTCAGCAGACTAACATCCCCATTCCGGATAACCAACAGGGTCCTTGGAAGACCGAGGATCCTAGACCTCAGGAGGCTACCGCTGGCGGTGGTTACAACTCTAATGACTTGGAATCCTCGCTGCAGCGCGGCATGGACGTGCATCACCGTTGATACCTTTTGTTTCCTTTCTGCCTTTTCCCTCGACTTGTTGGTTGTTCGGCGTGTTGAATCCGATGTCTTCTATCGCGCCCTGCATGTTGATCTAATTTAGCCAAGAGATACCTTCAGAGAAACAAAAAAGACTGGGACGATTTACATGGGGTTTTTCGTTTCATTTTTTTTCATTAACCGCGCTATCTCGAACTCGACTTTCTCATCTCTATTTGTTCTGCGGTCTGCTCTTGCCCGATTCCATAGCTTTTGGACTGTGTCTGCGTTTCCTATTTCCCTTTGGTGTGACCTTCTGAATCCTTTCCCTACTTCCACAGTTCAAGGTGCTATTGGTTGTGGTTTCTGGTTGGATATGATACTTCATTACTCTGTGCATTGCATCTCTTTTAAGTAGGTTCATCACTAGATACATAGATTGTCAATCAAGTCTCCCCCTCCTCAGGTTTCTATCAAGAAGGATCCATTCAAACCGACATAACTCAGATCCATTATCTTTTGTACCTTCCACTCTCGATATCTATAAGGTTTTGGCTGTACATCTCTGTCGCTGTATGAGATGCTAGCTAGTTAATATCCCCTCTTGTTTCCAACTCCGCCATCATAATTGAATTACCCTCCACCAGATATACCGGGGAGTTGTAGACAAAGGAACTCGGCCACGTGCCAAGCCACGTGCCTGCCACCTGACAGCACCTACCCAAATAGGAAGGTCCCTAGGCGGTAACCTTCTGCCAAGAAGTGAGGTTATATTGAACTTTAAGGATATCCTATCGCCCTTCGGGGCATATGGTCAAATGAAAATATACAGAGAAGATTAGCATGGCCCCTGCACTAAGGATGACACGCTCAATCAAAGAGAAGCTACCCATTTTTTTTCCCCTTTCGAGATCCGATTTCGAGGCTATACAGGTGTGGGTCTTCCGGTGCCATGTGATTGGTCCTACGCTTTTCGGAAGTGCAAATCATGTGCCCCAATCCAACGGCCAGGTTTCGAATGACGTTGTCAGCGAATCCACTTTTCTTTTTATTTACGGACCGGATCTGCAATTTAGGGCTATGCAACATGCGTGCTATCCCAACGGAATTTGTGGATATATCATCTTCTCCACGGGTCGTAGGTGGACTTTGAGTAAACTTGGATTATATCGTACACTGTTAACTACCTGTGAAGATCCTTGACTATCAAAAGCAAAACTGCAGAGAAATTCAGCCTTGTACCACCCCTTTCCATGGCCGAACTACATGCAGGTCATCCTGTACCTTGGATAGATAGCCCTGCCAGTGCTGGTGCAATGTACAAAAGTGCACGCATGGCACGAATGAGTGGGCTATTTAGTGATACTGCGCGAGCCATCATGAGCAATACATTGCAAGCCTTGGAAACAGCACCAATGTATATATAAGACAAAGGGATAATTAGACCAGACGAAACATAAATATGGATAAAGAAGTGAATCAGAAGAAATGAAATTCATGCATTCGTATGCGATGTCATCAAACCGACTATAGAGTAGACAAACCTCCCAAATCAAGCCAGGATTTTTAATACCAAAACAAAAGGCTAAGACTTAAAACTAGGTAAGATCAATATATCTCAATAATAATACCCTCTCCACCAAACAGCCATGCAAGCCGCAACAACCAGATCAAGCATTTTAATCCCCTCGTCTTCAATGACCAACTTTCCCAGTTTCGCACTCTTCCCCCTTAACCCACCGCCGGCAGGCTCCCTAGCAAGCGAGAAATCCAAGCGATCCTCATCGGAATCATGATCCAGATCCCCACCGCTACTATTACTCGTACTGCGGTGGTGGAATTGGCTCTGGCGCGTGAAGCGTTGCGCACGCATAGAGGTTCTGCGGAGGAGAGTTGAGGGGCTGAGGTTTGTGCGCGAGGCTGTGGGGGTTGAGGCGGGGAGAGGTGGAGGGTTTGAGCCTGGACCTGTGTGCGCCCGCGGCCGGGAATAGGTGTTTGGGTTTAGGAGCTGGGAGAGGGAGTTGCGCTTTGCGGATGTGTAGCTGTTGTTGGAGGAGGATGGTTCGAGTGGTCCTCCGTCGGAGGTGTTGTCGTTTGGGTTGTCGTTGAGGCGGGGGAGGGACTGTGTTTGGATTTGGCTTTGCGTGAAGGGGGACAGGTGGTTTGGGTGGGGTTTGTGGGTTGCATGGTGGGCGTGCGAGTGGAGATTTGCTGCTTGGAAGGGGGTGTTGAAACGGAGCTCGGCCACAGTTACGGCGGGGGGTGCTTCTGCTTCGCCGTTGGGGGGAATGAAGCCGCCGGGTGTCGGAATCATGTGTTTGCATTTGAGGCTTCGACCGTTCACGCTGTTTGTAAAGGTACATGTGCCATTCCAGGGAGAAGTGAAGACGTAGTAACCGCTTTTTAGCTTGGATGGGCCATCTGGGGTGTGGCCGTTGCTGCCATCTGCAGCAACGGAGTCGTCGAATGGCTTTGATACGCAGAGTTGGCGGTGGAACTTGCGTGGGCCGGTTGGCTGCTTCTTTGATTGCTCAGTGGCTAAGGACTGGGCAATGGCAGAGTTAGGTAGGCGTCCGATTCCCGTCGGGATATTGGCTGCCAGGCTGGATAATGAAGGCATCTCATTTGAGCCTGCGAACCTATTATATCCTGGCGTGGAAATCTCGATATCGACGGTGTTGCGGTCCATTCGGGGGGTTGATATAGTTGCCACATTCCATTGTGTACCAGACGTGGGATCACGCCGAATGAGCGTGATATGAAAACCAGCATTGCTAGGAGGGTTACCATGTGCGTTTCGATGTCGGTTAGGAGATTGCCCGGGGCTTCCCAATGGTGATCCGGTACGGTTATGCGAAGAACGAGGCCGAAATTGCGGCCTAGAAGAGTCAAGGCTATGACGGCCAGCCGACAGTGCCTCGTACTTTGCTTCATACTTCTCCTTCCAGTTCTCTCCCCGGGTTTGCAATTGTTCGGTAAATGCGCTCCATCGGGATGTCCTTTTAGACGGGTCTTCGCCTGTTGCAGAATTGGCCCATGGCTCTTCACCAGGCGGCAAGGGAGGCAAAGGTCGCCGCGGCCCACCGCTCTTACCACCCGATTCTACCGGTACCCCTCTAGGGATATTATTATTCAAAGGGGGCTGTATGTTGGCGACTGGAGTCCCAGAGAAAGATACATTCTCCGCGGTAACCTGCGGCATATGGATTGGCCGTGGTGGCAAGGTCGGAGAAGCAGTGGCATCCTGCGACATTGGAATTGGACGTGGCGGTAAGGCCGGAGAAGCAATACCATCCTGCAGCACAGGGATTGGACGTGAAGGTAAGGCGGGGGGAGCAGTGGCATCCTGTTGAGGCGGTGCCAGCAAAGGCTCGGGGTTGGGGTCCCCTCCTCCACCAACTGGTTTCCGGCGCACATTGTTCAGCCGCGCGAACTCACGTTGTGCCGGGTCGTCGGCGCCCGCTTCCTCAAGACGCTCCTTGCGCAATTGGGCCTGCTCTTCGCGCTCTTCCTCCACTTCCTGGAGCAGGGTATCATCGTCGGGAGTCGCGACATGGAGATAGTAAAGGGAGGCGTTGATTGCCTCCGCGGAGACACTGGATTTCGTCGGTGGTTTGAGAGGTGAGAGGAATATGTCTGCATATTAAACAGCAGTCAGTTATGGTTTATCTTCATTTGGTTGTTAAAGCACGATACTGCGCAGGTATGGGACTTTCGAGAGCGAAAGACAGAGAGCAGAATGTCAATATTGTGGAATTTATTCATACCTTTGCTTCCCGGTACACGCACAATGTATAGAGAGAGTGGTTCGTGTTTCTCGTGGGTGGGATTTCGTGGGTAGGCGGGGGGATTCGATGCGATATTGGTGACCGATGACAGTGATCGTGCCTCGACGGGGCCCTGGGAAACGGTAGACATTGCGGACAAGGCCGCGATCCACCCCGATAAGAAACGCAGGTAAAATATCGAAAGACTGAGGTTATGTTGAGTTGAGGTTGGCAAATAAACAATGGGGCACTCGGTAGTGGGCGGAGTTGGTCGTTCCGCCGGAAGGGGCGCCTGGTTTATTTCTGAATTCTATTCTGTTCGCTTTTCTGATTTCTGTTCATCAGTGGGGTGAAGTTGCGCAGGCAAGACATGAAGGGACGCAAGTGCAAGGAACAAGGATATAATGCTGCCTATCGTGGCGCAGTACGCGTGGGCATCACCCCTTGGGCCTTGATTACGTTGGGATCTACTCCCTACAACTTACGACTTGCAATATTGTTGGTAGAATCCAAACTCACTGCAATTGACGTCCAGGATAACCGCTGTTGGGGCCAGAAATAGTCGCCAAACGCCTCAAAGACGCCTATGACTGACAGAAATCCACCTCATCTTAAACGACAACTATATTGGATATACCGGGCAGCAACCCCCCAAAACCCTTCTCGAGGCCAATCCAAACCCTTCTCACCCCTAGCAACCATTCCCCGCCGCCAACACCAGCCGAGACAGCGGCCAATCTTGTTAACTCGGTGACTATTTCTTCAGATCCGGCCCACGCGCTCTGGGAACTCTGGGACGCCTTCTCTACAGCTGTCGCCACCTCTCCAACTTCACATAACCCTCACCTTTCCCTCCACGCACACCCGCCAACGCAGCCTAACGAACGCGCAAGATCCAATGCCAGTAGCTACATCGAGGCCGACGGAAAGCTATACTGGTAGATACTGCTGCGGTTCAGCGCGCAGTGGCGCGACGTGCATGATATCCTCGAGGCCTGGCGTAATTGGGACGGGGTGCGTGATTCGAGTGCGGGTAACTCTACTATTAGTACGTTAAGTAGCAGTGGTGGAGAGTATTTTCTCCGCTTCTGCGTATTCTCAGCTGCGCTTCTGAACATGACTAAAGGTAAAGGCAACGTGCCTCCTATATGGGTTTTCTTTGCATGCCGCGACGTGCTAGAGCGCGATGGACCTCAGTCATGCCCACAAAAAGGGCATAGGATGTCGTCGGAGCAGTTGTGGGCGCTGGATGTCTAGGTAGCAGCGACCTGGATGCGAGATGGGGGCCGGATATTATGGGAGGCGGACTATGAGGAGCAGCGGCACTGGGCGGTATGATAAGACGGAGCTGTGGCTGAGAGGTGGGCTGACACGGGAGCAGTGGATATTGTGGGGGAAGAGGCTGAGGGCTTTGAGTATACAGGAAATATTAGAGGAAACTGTGGCGGTGGTTGTAGAAGCTGCTGATGTAGTTAGCGGCATTCTGGAAGAGTCAACTTAAGAGTATTGAGCTTCTTACTACCAAAATATGCCAACTGCTATTGTTGTTCATTGTTCATATATTTGGTATCATCAGAATAGCTACACGGCCAGAAATAAAAGTAGAAGTAGAATGGTCTGAATAAAAAAAAAAAGGAAAAGAAAAACCGAAGGAATGCAATCCGGAGGCAGTACTCCTGGGGGGGTGTCGATACAAAACAGAAACTCCATGCTGCAACGCCAGACATTTCCATGTCCATGTCCAGGTCCCAGAAAAAGAAAAAAAAACCAAGTGAAAATCCCATGTATACCCAATATTAGACAACAGTCTCGGACCGTTCACCTTCTGCAATGACTGGTACACCCAGACCACGATCCGGGCTCTGCAACACAAGCTGTTCATGACGTCGTGCCCGCAGGAAGTCACTGACCGCACGGATCAAAATGAACCAACCAACAATCATGAGAATATATGAGATCCATTCACTGGTGGTGATGCCAGATATGGCACCGTTCCCTCCACTGCTCCCGCCCTCATTAACCGAGTTAGGGTCGAAGTTGTGGCTGTTGGGGTCAGGTGGAGGAACATATTCAGAGCTTCCAGGGTCCGAGCTCGAACTGTCGCTGCCGCCTTTCATGTAGAAGCCGTATTGAACCAGAGTAAGACCGAGGCCCGCTCGGCTGCCGTTCTTTGCAGCATGGGTAGTGTGGAGGAGATAGGTCAGCAAGAAGCCAACAAGCTGGAATGACATTGAGATCATGGCGTTCCAGACAAATGAGAAAACGGATCCAACAGGCAGTCCATCGACATAGACCTCGTCGGACGAGATACCTGGAGCCACAATCGTGGTCTCCCAGTATGGGGGTGTCGCATCAGCGGCGGCTTCTTCGTATGACTAAATGAGATATCAGTACACACAAGTCTTTCAGTTATATCACAAAACACTCGAATATCAACTTACAGGAGGAAGATCATCATTCTTCTCGCCCCGTTCCGGCTTGGCGGCAAGATTGGCGAAGACTCCATCATTCGATGAGGCGATCTGCCGACTGCCTCCAGAAGTCGGTGCTGTGAAACTCGGTAAAATCGTCGGCCGTCTGAGAAGCCCCGGTTGAGTCGGATCCTGTACATCGACCCTTGACTCCGACGAGGACGCCGTGGCGGTAGGGCCATTATCCGGGGGAGCTCGGAAGTCGGGGTCAGCTCGCATCAAGCGCTGTCTATCATCCGGCTCATTATCATCATCGGACTCGTCTTCGTCGCCAAAGGCATCGGCCAGTGTCTGATCATCATCGTTGTGCTGTGGATCGTTGTGTAATAGCCGCCTCGACGATGGGGACGACGAGCGGGACCCGGAACGGAAAGATGAAGGCGAAGAGTTGCTGTGTTCGGGTCGCGCGTTCAGCGGATAGGAATGTGGTTCTTCCTCTTCATCTTGGGCATTTACCTATACATATAGTGGTCAGTGTCTTGTCGAGAGATCCCATCCGGGGAGGGCTTGTTCTGATAGGGGATCAGCGGGGGATTGCGTACCCGTGAATAGCGCTGCGAGCTCATGGCGAGCTGAGCGGGAAGCGACCCGGAATAGAATCAGAAAGGAAAATGAGACAGAAACAAGTTAGGTTGGAAAGCAAAAATGATATAACAAGAGTACAAGGGGATGGGAAGATGTCGGGGTTGATGAAGAAGGCAACAGGAATGGATGTGGCTGATGATGCCTGATGCGCCAGGCCAAAATAGACTGTTCCCGTCTTCGCCTCAACTTTCAAAGGAAGATCCTTCCCCTATACCACAATTATCTTGGGATATCTCTTGTCCACCATGGCTAAAGCACCCGTGAGTATCTTACCCAACATTCAAATTGTTCCATATAACATCATCGACAAGCGCTCCCCACGTTCAATCCCAAACAATCTCCTAACAAACCATCTAGACCCTTAGCCCGCGCTCCCTCCAAAGCCGCCTCACACACCTCCTCAAGCACTGGCCTTCGGATGCAGTCCGCCCAGCCTCAGTCTCCGTCCAATCCTACATTGAGTCTCGTCTCCAGCCAGCAGTCAAGTCCAGACCAGCAATTTCCGAGTCCTCCGTGGATGCACTCGAATCGCTGCTGAACAACCGCTACGCGCGCAAGTATCCCATGCCGGAGAAACTGCGCCGACCAGCCAGTAACCCAGACCACTATGACAATGTCGTACGTGAGTTTGCGGAGGCGCCGAACCGCGATTGGCTTGGCCGGTTGAAAAAGAGGTTGGCTGGTATTATCCGCTTGACGTGATGCTTCTGTTTTTGGTGTATATATAGACTTTGATTTTTTGACACGGAAAACTTGGGAAAACTTGATTTATCGTTGTCTCACTGGATTTGGGTCAGCATTATGGGGTTTTTTGTTTAATGGGTTGCATGACTTGTACCAATACCTTTTTCTCTCTTGTTTTTTTGTGTTTTATTATTGTATACCTACTATATTTTCTACTCAAATGTACGAGATTTGTTCAGAAACATGTTCGTCTTGATGCACATCCAGGATATGTCCATGGGAATGAATTTTGAAACAATCTAACTCCTAATTGCTATATACAAAACGCTTGAAGAATCATAGAATTTGCATGCAAACTTATAGCATGGGCTTCAGGTCATCGGCGACCTTGAAGGGGGCATCGGTCTTAGCCTGGACCTCCTCGACGGTGACACCGTCGGCAATCTCAATAAGAGTCAGGCCGTGGGAGAAGTCAACGTCGAAGACGCAAAGGTCAGTGATGATACGGCTGACGCAAGCGGGGCCAGTCAGAGGGAACTCGCAGTTCTTGACAATCTTGGCGTTACCCTTCTTGTCGGTGTGTTCCATGGTCACGACGACCTTGGTGGCGGATGGGTTGGAGACCAAGTCCATGGCACCGCCGAAGCCCTTGATCTTACCGGGGAGCATCCCTACGAGAGAATGTTAGTTATATGCATAAAACGGAAGAAGCATGGGAAAGACGTACAGTTGGCCAGGTCACCCTTGGCGCTGACCTGCATGGCACCTAGGATGGTCAGATCGATACGGCCGGAGCGGATCATGCCAAAGGACTCGTCGCTGCCGAAGCAGCTGGCGCCGGGTTTGAGAGTGACGGTTTCCTTGCCGGCGTTGATAAGATCGGCGTCCTCCTCACCCTGCTTGGGGTAAGGGCCGAGACCGAGAATACCGTTCTCAGACTGCAGGGTCACCTCGACGGAGGGGTCGACGAAGCTAGGAGCAAGCATGGGCATACCAATACCGAGGTTGGCGTACATGCCGTTCTTGAACTCCTTAGCGGCACGGCGGACGATACGCTCGCGCTTGTTGGCGGTATCACCCTTACCGAGAGCAGAGGTATCAGCGCCCTCCTCCTTGGCGAAGGTGAACTTCTCAATTTGCTTGGGGGTGGTGGTCTGGATAACACGCTTGACATAGATACCGGGCAGGTGGACGGCAGCGGGATCGATCTCGCCGGGCTCGACGATGTGCTCAGCCTCGACGATGGTCATCTTGGCGTTACGGCCCATGGCACCGTTGAAGTTGGCGGCCGCGTAGCGGAACTGGCAGTTACCAAGCTTGTCGGCCTTCCAGGCCTTGACGAAAGCGTAGTCACCCTTGATCGACTCCTCCATGACGTAGCTCTTGCCATCGAACACCTTGGTGTCACGCGGCTCACTGAACTTTGCGACTGTGCCGTCGGCATTGTGTCGCAGGGGCACCGCACCGGTCTGCACCACGGTACCGAAGGCGGCAGGTGTGTAGAACGCGGGGATTCCCGCACCACCGGAACGGCACCGCTCAGCGAGAGTTCCCTGGGGAGTGAGCTCCAACTCGATCTCACCAGTGAGGTACATGCGCTCGAAGGTCTTGTTCTCGCCCACGTAAGAAGCAATCATCTTCTTGATCTGCTTGGACTTGAGGAGCAGACCGAGACCAGATCCGTCCACACCGGCGTTGTTACTGGCCACGGTCAGGCCAGTGATTGAGGGGTTCGCCAGGACGGCGTTGATCAGTGAGTCAGGTACACCAGACAACCCGAATCCACCGGCGAGCAGAGTCGAGTTGGACTTCATGTCCTTGACTGCTACTTCGGCGGAGGGGTAAACCTTGTTGATCTCACTTCGGCGGACACTGCTGGAGAATGCGCGGGCCATGAAACGTTGGTGCTGGTAAAAGGCAAAACATGTCAGTCTTCGCGACTCAAAAAGCGATATGGGCGATATGAGCCATAGGCAAATTACTTACCTGGGCTGGATTGGCCGAGAACTGACGCGCGAGGCGCAGACATGTTGCCACTTGAGAAGGCATAGCTAATGACTTCCAAATGAGAGATTGGACGTTAATATTAAAAAAATCCCAAGTGTACAGCAACTTATTAAAAGACCAAGCAACCCGTGGCAGCGGCAATAGCCACTTCTTATATTCCCACACGGCAGTGAGAGCGGAATCATTCCCGAGTGATATTCGTTTCCCCGGAAATGTGGATTCCCGGCTCTCTCCCGCCTACTACAATTGCCCTGAGTTCAATACTTTTAACCCCAGAGCTCCTAAACTTGGTGATTAATTATTAGAAATATTGAAATATCCTAAACCAAGTACTCTCAAATTCTACATACATCCCATTCTTTTTTGGCTACTCATTACCTTCAAAATCCCCCCTTAGGCAAATTGACTTCTTTTCTTGCCGCTGCCGAAATTCACAGCCGATCCGTATCCGATTCCCGCGGCTGGCCCAGGTGGGAAATCGGAAGTGCTGAGTCATCATACAGTCACCTG